TTTCTCATCTCTCCGACGAAACTGGGTCATTGTACCCACAGTAGCCGGCTTAAGTATAGTCGCCAAACGGAAACAAGTTGCCAGCCAATATGGTCTTAATGGTCTGTGACAAGTTCAGGACTGACTCTGTGTGAGTGTGCGTCAAATAAGAGTCCACAGCAAGTGGCCGAGAGAACCGGCTCTCTAATAGCTAGAATCCCACTTTATATACAAGACTGTCAGTCAGTCAGGCAGCTTTTTATTGGGCTATTTCTAACTGCGTGCCAAATAGAAATGGGGGAAATGCGCCAGTGTGAGTGAGCGTGGGCATTATTGTGTCATTCTGGTCTCTGTTTTGTTTGCTTAGCCAGTTAACTGCACCCATTTAACGGATTTCTATTCTCAGATTCTTTTTGTTAGTTTTTGGTTTACCTTTTGGTTTTGATGGGAGATGGAATCATTTTATAAACAAAATCTATAAAATGTTCAAGTTCGTTGTCGAAGTCTTTTGATTTGGCTATAAGGCGAAGCTCAAGTAAGATCTTGACATTTCTAACGCCTATAGCTCATAGTTGAAAATTAATTCTTAGCTTAAGATAACGCTAAGTGAAGTTCGTTTCCTAGGACTTTTGTTTTGCTAGTAAGTGCAGCTCCTTCTCTTCACTTTCCTTGCTCAAAAATCACAAAAAACCATTTTATATTTAATAAGAACCTTTCTTATACCTTTAAATACCTAATCAGAACCTTAATTTGCTTGTTGAACATTTCCTGTGACATGGACAAGGCCCATCAAGAAGTTAGTTTTTGCCATTTTTCGTTGTTTCTCTTGGCCAAATTCACTGACTGAATCTAAAAAATATGCCAAGAAGAATCTGCGATTAAAACATTCCAAAGCAAACCGGTTTCGGGCGGTTCCCCGACTCCCAATTCTGACAGAGCAAAAAACAAAAAAAGTATTTTCATTGATTGTCAACGCCGACACATGTAAGAGTCTCCAGGGAACCCACCCGCTCCCCTCTACGCTTTCTGTTCTCCGTCTCACTGCAATTTAATCTGGGCCCACAGCGCCCCAGGACAACCATTAAAGAAGATCGGAGGAGACCAGCGAAAATAAAAGCCAAAAACGAAAATAAAAACGAGATAAATTGTGGGTTCAGTTGGCTTTACCTGCCGATGGGTGTGTGGATGGGCCTGCCTGCCAGTCTGACTGTGTGATCGTGCCCGGCAACTTTCGATGTGCTGAATTTCATTGTACAATTTTGGGCATCCCAATCCGAGAGCGCTTCTCTTCTCACGGGAAAGGGAAAGTATGCAGTTATAGATACGGCTTCGGTTTCATGTTTTGATTGCCCAATCGCATCCCGGCCCAAGCTCAGTCGGTGCTCGACTCTAATTGAATGCCCCGGTCAGGGTGGAGAAACGCTTAACTTAATTGAATATGAGAGATCAGCATGTGAGCTGATTACGAGCTCGATCAGTACAAAAACTTTCTGGATGGAAAGGGAGAGGAAGTCGTGCCTTTTCAGTCAGCAAGCTGTTAAGCCTGTTAAGTTTATGAGGATTATAATTAGAATTATAATCTATCAGAACATGAAATTGCTGTGAATCAAACTTTGAATTAAACCTAAATTGCGGGATATCCTTGACTTATTGATAATATATACTATTATATGTCAAGCCCTGACCAATATCCAATAAAGGACCAATCACCAGGTATAACAACGAATAAAAATGCATTCAAGTCAGGCAAGATAATTTCTTCGCAGCTGTCATAATCCAAGACCCAAGTCGCGTGTTCTGAAGTGCTCAAAAATTCCATAATTAATTGCGTCAGCATTGCCAGTCTCTGAGCAGGTGGCCCACCAAGAATCCACAAAAGTTCCCCGGCCGAGACAAGTGCAACAAGCCGGGATCGAGAAAATTTTTATATATAAACCTGCCGAACGAACCTGCCTCTTGACCCAATAAAGAGTCAAGCGATAAATTTCTGCTCAGCCTGCAGAGACGGCGGCGTCTTTTCTCCTCTTCTTTTTTGATTATTTATATTTTTCCTCTCGTTCTTTGGAGCCAGCCAAGTGGGCCATGTAACCGAAATGTGCCAAAACAAAAAAAAAACAAGAACCGAAAAAATGTGAGGGAAAAATTGGCTGTGGAAGCAGCTAATCTGAAAATTTAATCAGCTTAACAGTTGCGACTGGAAAGAGAGACTGGAGAGATGCCTGGAAGGGGGAAATTCTGAGACAAAGGGTCATGAAAACGAAAAGCCCAACAGGTTGTGGTAGTAAGTCAGCGGGTTACAGTGTCACAGATGTATTCCCAACCGAACCCGAGCCCCAACCCGATCGCAATCATCGATTGATCGCTGACTCAGTCATGGTGGATACCACCACGGAGACCATGTAGTACGGGAAATAAAAGTCCAACTCACGGCGCTTTCTTTGACACTTTTCCAGTGGCTCAAATTCTCAAATGCCCCATTCAGATTTCAATTCGCTCCGTGTACCGCCTCGTATCGAAAGCCCCGAAAAGCCGTTAGCTTGGGTGTAACTGTTTCAGTAAGCCATAACTGAATGGTACGGCGCTCCAAGATTCTGTTTCTGTTTTCTTTTAATTAAGCTTGCTGTAAAATAATTTTCACTTCGCCCAATTTTCCCGCCCGCCCGGCTCTATGTAAATTCCGCGGCAGAAGCCCCTGCCCCATCCCCCATGCTAATGCGGCTTATTAGCTGCATGAAAGGTTTTGGCCCGACTTCAAATGGCCCAGTAAACAGTGCAGTTAGCTTTAATTGATTCCAGCCCGCTGAGAGTTGCCCGCCTCAGTTGGCCGGATTCGTGCAATTAAGCGGTTACAGTGGAGTGGTTGGCCGCCCGGCGGGAGAGGGGCTGGAGCTTTCGATGGAATGCATAAGTAAATGGGAGTGGTGCCGAGGCATCCACACCACTGTGCTCCTGGCTTGGGCACAACACACCACTTACTTGCCAAGTTCACATGGGAAGTTGCCATTCAATGGGCAATAACAAGCAACAAATCTCTCTTCAAGCATGGCACTGAAATCATAACTGAGCTTCAACTTTAATTCACTGGCATTCTCTGTACATTAAATATTTGATATCATCCCACACATAAACCCATTTCGTCAAAAGCGGATCATAGGTTTTGGGAGTTAGTTGAATATGTTTTGCTAAGTGCTCAGGAACTGACATATCTGCTTCTTTGTCTAATTATCTTTTTATTCTGATATAGAATTCTGATCATTGCTCGAAACAAATTATGCATTTCTTTACTGTTTTATTAAAAACGTGAGCTTAGTTCTTCTTCTAATATTATATTTTAGGAAAGGTTGTTAAGTATATCACATAATGTGAGTATTCTAACCACTTTGTGATTAACTTGAACTTTGGTCAACAAACCCACTAAATATAAACCTCCGATTACTACACCAGAGCCTACCTTGTATCAGTTTTTGTGAGAAATGATACGACAAAAAAGCTTATAAATTAACTGTGTTTAATAGGAATTATTAAAATAACGTTAAGTCACAGCTTCTAGCTAATTATGCGTTCATCGTAAAAACAAAGAATTTTTCCACAAGCTGGTTAGGAATCCATGATATTTTCTTTGGGCTCCTTCATTCTTATAAGTTTTTATGTGCCCAATTACACAGCCTAATGACGATTTCATTTTCACATGTTGCATAATCTGAGCTCAGCGTCACTTAACGATTATAAACCACGCATGCCCACGTCGTAATAAACTTTAATTAACTTCGATTCACGCACGTCACGCACTTGGTAGGCGACAAAGCGAATTGGAACCAAACAAACTGCAAAAACCCAACATAAACTCAGGCAAAAGTCAATGAATCCGGTATGAATAATCGCAATTGTGCAACACAGGCCAGCCCTCCGTGGTCATCAGACAATGAATCATAGCTAGCGAGATGCGTTCCGCACTAGACAACCCAGATGCAGATGCCATCGACCCAGTTTTGGGGGTTTTTAAACCGTTTGAAATGTGTCACCTAGTGAGAAAGAGATATTGGCTGACATATTTACCAGTATTGACAACTCTTTGTGGGTCAAGCCCGTATTTCACTAGCAAAAAAGAAAATTAACAAACTTCTTGGCTCTCCGCTCGACACTTGAACGCACTAGTGCGGGTGTTCAGGTGTTCAGATACCTTTGGCACAGTACAGTTAGCGCACTTCATTACGTTTGGCACAGTTTGGAGCACCAGGTGCCCCCCGACTCCCTTATCCTATGCATTCTTTGTAACGCCTAATAAATTATGCAGCGAACGCAAGCTTTCTAAAAAGGAGAAGACGAAAATGAGAAGAGTAATCACGTACTGGGTAATGGGTACTAGGTACTGAGGTGCTGGGTGCTGGGGAATGTCTATGCCTGCCTCGAGCATCTTCATCAACCGCTGGCACGTCGGACGAATTCTTTCTTATTCTTCAGCTTTTTGTGAACCGACATTCCTCGGAAATGTATCAAATTAAAAATTAAAATTATGCTCACGTGTGGAAAAAGTGGCTCGAAGTATCTCCGTTTGTAATAACTAAATGCTCGCTTGAGCAGAACCCTTGGTGAAAACTTATGATTATTACAGATAAGATCAACTTAGAAGAAGTGCGAGAGATTCGCTTGGTTGGGGCAGAAGAGCTGGCAGAAATAGGTGGAGATTCGATACAGATGACCGCCAGATGAAGTGAGATATTAATAATAACTTCAGATATTTTTCTAATTTGCATTTTTGGAATACCGAAAATAGGTCGCTTAAAGGATGAATATCAATTGAGAAATCTATGCAAAGATCTGGCGAAGATCATAACCTTGCTATCTCAACTTTCATCCTACCACTTGGTTTGGCACCGTGAAAGTTGGCTGCTGGCACAGACCTCACAATTAAAGTTCAATTTATTAACTGAATGCATGTGAAATTCTTTTGTTGGGCATGTCACTGTCGTGCTACCCGCCCCCTTTTCCCGCCACCGAACCCCTTTCTGGCCGAGACTTACCTGCTGTTTGTACGAGGAGCAGCAGAAGAGCCAGTGGCAACAACGACACAGCCATGGCCATCAAGTGTCGATGGTCTCTTGGCATTCTATTGTTGGAAATTGCTGATGGCTGGGAGGTGCCCCAACCTTCTCCTCCTCCTCCTCCTCCGCCTCTGTCTCCGGCTCTACTCGATGGTGTATTGTGTGTTGAATTCTGTGGCTTTCGTCGCATGTTTGCATAAACTACGAGTTCCGCGGCCACACTCTTTTGCCTCTTTGAGGGGTTATTGTCAGGGTTTCTATTATTTATTTTCGGTATTTCGTTGTTTTTATTGATCAACTGTGCCTTGGCGAGGCATGTTTTGGCTTTGCCCGTGTGTGTTCAAGCTGAAAAGAGGGAGAAAGGTGGTCAGCAAAAGGGTAAAAGTTGTAAATGATTCTGAGTTCGTGTCTTGAGTCTTTTGTTTTGGGAGTGCCATTTTCGCAATGTTCGCTGGGATTGCGACTTAGATCTAATCACTTTGCCCTTTAATGTGCCACAAAAGTTAACTGTACGGGTTTTTGGTGGACATTACGTCAGATAGCCATGGGTCGAACCCCCATTAACCGGCGGCAGTACTCCACATTAGCATTTACATAAGCAGCGGCTTAGTAAGCCAATAAACCCGGCTATCTGAACGGCTGGAAAAGAAAACACTTTCAGAAAAGTCTCAGTTTTGTTTGCCTGTTACATAAAGTTAAGCGTTCCATTCAAGCAACTAACTGAACTCGGTTGATTGAAATGCTAATTTTGATGGATGTCCAAGACGCTCAGAAATTGGCTGCAGCGAAAGTCAAGTCACAATTTGAGGTGTCAGAAAGCAAAAGTGAAATTCCAAAGCGAGCACTGAGTTATCAACTGGAGCAGATCCGTCGTCAGTTGTCGTCTGGGCCAGGGGACGTCATGCCCTAATCGATTCCAGCTGCTCGAGAGATTACCCAATGCCTGTCGTGCTAATCAGAAGCCAAAACAAGCTCCACATCTCAAACGGCAGTAACTGAAGCAATTGCCGGGCATTAGATGGAAAGTGAAAGCATCCAGAGCGGCGGTAACGGAGGTAGCAAATGGAAAGGAAAGGTAAAGGTTGCCTCTGCAGCATGCGAGTGTAGATGTCTATATCTGTATTTATATATATGTACGTGATCTCAGACCGGATCGGACCGGTCGTTGGTCGGTCGGTGGTGATATGCCGCCTGCAGTTGAGTCATGATTCGAGTCCAGGTCTGATATTTTGGCAGCTCTTTGCTTTGTTTACCTGCGGTTCCATCTCGAAAGGAACCTTGAAATCTCCGCTCGGTACGCTTGAAGAATCTCAGTGAAATAGAAAGTTTTACGTGAGCAGCCAGAAGAGCAAAACCACAACAAACTCTATTTTCTTCGTGGGCCGCTTGTGTTTTCTGTTGCTTTCTGGGCTGTCATTAAATGACTCCATTTTTCAGCGGATTGTTGTGCTTTTCCATTGAGCGATTCGCCCACGCTGGCGCTTGTTTACATTTTCATTGGAATAATTTTTGGTTTTATCAGGTTTGCTTTCTTTTTACCTTTTCGGACCCCTCAACACCCAGCGGAAGTTGCAGCTGGTAATTAGTTTTCATTTCTTTCCATCTTCTTCAGTTAAATGACTCATGTGATTTTTCATAAGCCATTTTTTTTGGAGCTTTGTCTGTTGCGTAACTTCGTTTCTGAGCCGGCAAAAGAGTCAGAGGAAGGTGAAGGTGTATGATGAAGGTGCAGATGAAAGAGGGAGTTCAGATATATTGACAGAGAAAGAGGGAAAATAAAGAGAGTCCGAAATATGAAGTCAAAAATTGCATAAGGCAATTTCTTATTGACTGTCTGCATGGCAAAAGTGGAAGTATCCTTTACCCAAATGTGGTATTTCTGGCATTTCCCCTTGAAAGACTCAGTTCACAAATTTTCTTGGTTTTTCCTTTTCGGACTCACCTCAAAGCGTTTCCATTAATCACACGATTGCAATCGACGAGATATGATGGATGTTTTTGCGTGCAGCGCTGTTGCACGTTATTTTCAATTAGATTTTGCACATAAATAACGCTAATAATGGAAAATTTCACCAGCTGGGTAAGGCCAACAGCAAATAAACTGCAAAAAAACGACAAGGCACACCAAATTGAAGATCTCTCGCCGACCCAGAGCCAAATCCAGCTTGGGATTCGGCTTCAACCGGACCGAGTAACCGAGTGGAAATGCGGTTTTGCGGCCTGCGAGGAATGCAAAACTCTAAATAATCGAAAAGCAAAAATCAAGCGACAGCTGCCCCCTGGAAAATTGGCACAAGTGCTCTCGAAATGGCACAACTAACAGTATCAAGTGCTGAAACGGGAATCGGGAGTGGGCAGTCGACTTGGTGTTGCTCTTGGACTTGGACTTCGACTAGGCCTGGAGCAATTTAGCGGATCGCGTTGCAGTCGGCGGACATGTGTAGGCCGTCGGACAGGTTGCAGCAGACCACGTATCCGGTTGGGGCAACCTGACGGATACGCGATGCGCAGCCCCGCTGGTTCTTGCGAAACTTGCGAAAAATGCCTAATTAATTCACTCGACTCCTGAGCCCGGAGTGGCTCTCTAATTGGGAGTGAAACGGCGGACAAATTATGAATTTGCAACCAATTTCACAGCAACCGTAAACAAAGGCCGCGGACAAAACTAACTGAGCCAGTCGAGGCAAGAAGGTAGCGCGAAAAAAAGAAAGTTTTTTGAAGTTTTCGTTGCCGCCGCCTTGGGGTTCGTATGTATTTTTGCTTGGCTACACACACAAACGCGGATCGCACAAATATCATTTATTCGGTATACGTTTACATATTCGCCGTTTGCTTCACTTCAAGAAAAACACTCATTTCTTTCTTCGGCGCACTCACACGCATGCGCAGCGCAGCGCTTAAGTTATTCACTTTTCATAGACTCTGACGCTCACACACGCACACGAAACCTCGGGATCCAATAACCCGGCGATGGCTTCTTCAATTTGTGGCCACTATCCGAGCTCACCTACCAAAAAACCGTCAACAGGTGCGCACCGTTCGAACGCTCGACTCAAACTGACTGAGCTGAGACCCGAAGACTCCGCTGAGAGCCGAAGAAACGAGAAACTGGAGGAGCGAACGCAAGCTTGATCGTCGCTCTTCGGAAGAGTATTCGGGAGTTGGAGATTTGCTGGCCAGTCCTCAGTCTGTTTCTTTTAAATTAACAGTCAAATTCAATAAAGTAATAAAATTCTGTGATTCTTTTTGAAAGTTGGTGGAAAATGTAATCCACAATCCTTTTTGTATTTTTAGTAAAAACATAAATAAGCTCCACTTAGTTTAGTAGAGTAAGCAATGTTCCATACATAATTTTTTGCACATCTTAACAGCTCACTCTGCGAAGTGGTAGATTCTGTCTCGAATGGCTTGGGTCTGTGGTGAGTTAGTGCCACCGATAAAGGCCGCCTGAGCGGAAACTATAACAATTGAAAGTGGCAATTTGGCGAACACACGAGCCTTAATTCGAGAGCGGATTAGGATTGTCCTAGCCAGTTTCAGTGGATCGATGGCATTTTACAGGCGGAGACCGCTTCTATCAGCGGCAATTACTATGCAAATTGCCAAGGCTGATTCCGCTGATTTGGGTTTCAATTGAAAATGAGAATGGAATGGGGGAAAACTGATCTCGGCAACGGAAAAATATTGAAAGAGAATCGAATCGTGGCAGTGTCTGTTCGAACGTCTGCTCATCATGCCACAAAATCATGCCCCATGACCAGTGAAATTGTGTTTGCCGGGCTTGTTTTCTTTTATTTTATTTTATTTTCTTTCCATCCTCTGCGTTTTCACACTTTTCACGAATCGGCATCTCCATTGTTGGGCAGCTTTGCTAATGGAATCGGCAAGCAGCAACCAGCAACCAGCAACCAGCTACCAGCCACCAGCAAACCAATAATTGAGTACGCTGGCGGCTTTAATAGTTCTTAAGCACCTGGGTATTAGTGTCAGAGTCGCAGTGAATCGGGCAGCGGTACTCCGCTTTAATTTTCACAATTAACTTTATTTATTCAATCATAAACATGTGCATTTACGGGTAAAGAGAACAGGACTACTTGGCTAGTATTTCGGCAGCTCGGAGTAGCGGGGCGGCGTTGACCACAGCACACTGGAGTTGCGTTTCAGCTGGCTGGGATCGATGTTCGGGAATATCTGCTTTAGGTCCGGGGTGGTGGGCACGACAGAGAAGAAACTGTCGATGATGTCCGTTGGGCAGTGGCTCTGCATTGCGATTGCTTCTCCCCTCACATGGCCTGAAAAAGAAATCAGAGTTGGTCATAATAATAGTGTTTTGAAAATCACACAAAACTGAGACTACTATATTCTCAATCGGTTTTAACTGATAATAGGAGCTATATGAATTGATATAACCATAACTTCCAAATATATACATAATCTTCCAAACTTACTTCGACTCCAGGTGGGTGCGGGTGGCCGCTTGTGGGTGACCTTGCCCTCGTCATCGGTAGAGTCGTCCTCGTGCAACATCTCCCATGTGTACTTGGTTTTAGGTGGCGGCGGAAGCATCTTCTTGGGTTTAGCGCCGGTCAGCTGCTGTAGCTTCTGTTGTTCCAACTCCTTGATCTTGGCCTTCTTCAGCGCCTCGGCCTCCTCCTGCTGACGCATCTTGCGCTGGAGTTCCTCCAGCTCCTGCCGCTTGCGCTCTTCAATGCGCTTCCTCTCTTCCTGCTTCTTGGCGCGCTCGGCTGCTAACTTGGCCATACGCTCAGCCCGCTCACGCTCCTTGGCCTCGCGTTGCTGAGCAGCTTGTTGGTGCTTCTGTTCGCGCAGTTTCTTTCGTTCCTCTGCCAGATTATGCAGTCCCTTGCGGAAATCGTCACCGCTGTTTTCGCGTGACAACGTCTTCGTCGATGTCGAGTTGGCGGACCTCAGGTTCGTACCGGTGGCAGTCTTCATTAGGGTAGTGGCCTTAGACGCGCTTGCTGGCGCCTTCTTCGGCTGGGCCGAGCTCAAAGGCAGTGTGTTACTCGTCTGCGTTGGCGTGAAAAAGCGACCCACAGTCGGAGCTGGCAGCTTTCCAATCTTGGGCGTGTTGCTGGATCCTGGTGTGCTCTGCTGAAAAATATTGCACCACAGGTTTATCACTTTAGTTTTAGAGACTATTCTTGGTTTGCCATTTTTACATATATTTTCTTAAAAATGAATTTATGTTATTAATAAATTAATTGTTGAATTTAAAGTCAGCAAGGACTTGAACATTATCGGCAAACCAAAAAATAAGTTGAAGGTAAGAAATATCTTGCGTGTTTTTCTATCTAAAATTCTTTGTTCTATCAGTTATTAACTATTTTATTAACTATTATTATTATTATTCTAGAATTATATTCTCAATAAGTTGGCCTTAAAGTTGGCAGCTATAGCTAAATTGTCAATTTCATAAGTACTTAATTTACTTACCGCATCCTTGCCCCGCTTAGGACGCATGTTGCTTTGTGCAATGGCCGCATTCTCAAACGCCTCCACGCGCATCTTCACGGGGCTCTGTAGGAGTGGGCTGTGGGATTAAAAAGCATGCTGTGATCAAGGATCAAATATAGGTGCAGTGGAACTACTCACTTGAAGAGCTCGTGGGTGCGGGTAGGTAGTTTTATAGCCTTTATACTCGAGGGTAGCTTTATTGCCGGTAGCTTCTCCTCCAGAGATTCGTCTTCAGTTAGGAGGCTGTCCTGCTTCGTCAGTGCTACCTTTTTGTCGCCGCTGTTTACCTCGAAGGTGGCATCCCCTACTGGTCCCATTGGACTTTCGCCCGTCGGTGCCGGACCTATCACCATGGTGGCGTTGGAAATTGTTACTGTCTCGTTGGCAGCAGTCGGAGCAGCTGCAGCAACTGATTGCTCTGCAATGGGTGGTTCCTCGAGAGCGTCCTTGTATATGGATCGCTCTTGGTTTGGCCGTGATTCGGTGCTGCATTTGCGCGTCCGCGAGGACACAGGCGAGTTCTTGTCCAAGTCACTGAAGCGCTCTATCTTAATGGGTCGGTGATTCTCTACGTCCTTCTTCTTCTTGCGACCCTTCTTAGTCGCACCCTCCGTGGTGGTTGTAGTATTACTAGCCACAGTATCATCCGGACGCACAGTTTCTGTTGTGGCAGAGGAAGTGGTGGTTACATTTGTTGCGGTGCTCACTTCAGTGGATGGCGCTAATCCTTCGTTGCTGAGTTTCTCTCGCTTGACCTTCACGCGGAGGGTCTTTGTGCTGTTAGCGTCCTCAGTCTTGGAATTATCTAACTCCGGAGGCTTCTGCTGTTCTTCTGCTGGTGGAATTGTTGGCTCCATCACCGATTGCTCTTTTTCCGCAAGTCGCACACTGGTGGAGCTGTTGAATTGTGAAACCCGCTGTTCACTCTCCACCTTGATTTTGATGGTCTCTTCGTGGCTAGGCCTCCGCATTTTCCGAATGAGCGATGGCTCCTTCAGTAGCTTCTCGGTCTTCAGCTTGGCGGCGCGTTGTGGCCGTCCGGAGCCGAGTGTGGTGTCCGCTGTGACGGGCGCCGGTGGAGGCGGCATCAACGAAGCCGTAGTGTTATGCTCATCCTCTGCAATGGCCAGCAGCTGGGAGTTGCTGACACGAACGCCTTGTCGGACAGAGGAGTTGGCCTTAACGTCCGGGGCTGCTTAAAGGTAAGATAGATGGATATGTTTGTATGATATTGATCTATCGGATATAGTGTCCAATAATTACCCCCGGTGTCGTCCTGATCCTCGGCCAATGTTGAGAGTCGCTTGGGGCGTTTCTTTGTCTGCTGCGGAGTCACCGAGGTGTTTTCCTGGCTCTTCGCCGCTGGAGTTCTGTCCGTCGCCTTGACCTCAGACTCCAGATTCACGGTGCCGTAGAAGAGGTGGTCCAGCTCTTCGAAATGGGTCTGAAAAAAACAATGACGCCATGATGACTGTGAAGGAATTTCGGCTCCTGATCATATTCTTACCTTGCGCAAAAGCTCCAGCTCGCTCTGCAGGCTCGAAAGCGAGCTCAGCACGCTCAACATGTCCTCCATAGCTAGCGACTGTATCTTACCAACTGCAAAATCCGGATTCGCTTACTCCAACAAATTCGTTTTTTTCAAATGGCGGCAATGGAGACGCGCGTCAGTATCATTTAACAGAGCCTTTGCCTTTGCTCTGTTGGCAGCTAACAGTGTTTTCGGTGCTGTAGGGCGCATTTTTCGATCCGTTTTGCAACACTAAACGAACAAGAAAGTTCCCGCGCAAAATAAAATACATAACCAAAAGTAGTTTTTCAGTTCAAATACAAGTCAAATAAAATTAGTTGAAAGAAGAAACTAATCAGATGCTAAAGTGAATAGATAAAATTAACATTTTAAGAATTTATTGAGACGAATATAATATTTAAATTGAACTAGTTCCCGCTGGTTCTTACATCTACCATCTCCAGCGAACAGTGCTGTAAAGCTCTACAAAGTTCAAATTTTAGGCAAAATCATGCAGAATGGAGAAATTTATACATCGAAATTAAACTTATTCAAGCAAACTTAGGGCATTTATAGAGTATTACACTTATGTAATGTCCATAGTAGCGTATTGTTGTTTACCTACCCGTCCAGTATTGAACAACACCCGAAAACGATAGTATCGCCATGGCGAGCTGACCAAGTTGCCCATCTCTACACATTTGTTAAAAAAATTTGCAACAAGCCAACGAAAATCGACCAGGAACGGTGGACAGCCAAAACCGCGCGCTCTGCGACGACCACTGTGGGATGCACATACATATGCGCACCCGTGCCGCGGAGTAGACACAGTGCCGCGATCCGCGAACAGCGAACCGCCAATCCCCCAGAAGCCAGCTGCAGCAGGTCCCACAGATCCCGCCGCAGATCCAGATCATGGGCCTCGACTTCGACGCAGTGGAGTACTGCAAGGGCGTGAAAAGCCAGCAGTCCCAACCACCGTTTGCCTGTCCAGTCCGCGGTTGCGACCGCAGCTATAAGACCATCATGGGCCTGCAGTATCATCTGATGAAGTACGACCACGACAATCCCCAGCCACTCACGCCTGTGCTGACTCCCAACCGAAAGAAAGCGCGCTCCCGCTCTGGCGGACACCATTCGACGCCTCGCCCGCATAAGGAACACCCAGCTCCGGGAGGTGGTGGAGCGGAGGCCAGGAACGGGTGCTCCTCAGGCAGTACAGGAGTAGGAGCGGCGTCCGGAGGAGCCACCGTCCGGCAGTACGCTAATCCTGAATCCCTGGTAGCCTACAACGAGGAGGAAGCTACAGTAACGTTCAATCTGGACGGAAAAAGCGTGCGCCTGGGTATCGACGACGCCTTGCCGCTCGTAGAGGACGAGGAATTTGCAGCCCTAGTGGCCAGGGGCTGCATCTTGAACGCTGATGCTTTGCCGCTAGAGGAGAACGCACCCTGGGCCAGAGTCCAGGTGCCAGTGGCCAGGGTGGCCGAGATTCCCGACTACCGAGTGCCTGATGCCCCGCCTCGACCGCTAGCATATTATCGCTTTATCGAAAAGTCGCTGGAGGAGTTGGACGGCGAGGTGGAGTATGATGTGGACGAAGAGGACTCCGCCTGGCTCGAGCACATGAACGAGGAGCGTCATCGGCTAGGGCTAAATGCCGTAGGCATTGACACGATGGAGCTGCTGATGGACCGCCTGGAAAAGGAATCTCACTTTCAGGCGGCGGCCAACGGTACTCCCACAGGCGTCGAGGTTGACGACGATGCAGTCTGCTGCATTTGCCTGGATGGCGAGTGCCAAAACACCAACGTGATACTTTTCTGCGACATGTGCAACCTGGCGGTGCACCAGGACTGCTACGGAGTCCCCTACATCCCGGAAGGCCAGTGGCTGTGCAGGCGCTGCTTGCAGTCACCCAGTAAACCCGTTAACTGTGTGCTTTGCCCCAATGCGGGAGGCGCATTTAAGCAAACGGACCACAGCCAGTGGGCGCACGTGGTGTGTGCGCTGTGGATACCAGAAGTTCGGTTCGCCAACACAGTCTTTCTAGAGCCCATAGGTACGTTATGTGCTTCCATTTTATATTCCCCACTAACCTCTGTCTATTCTCTCCAGATTCAATCGAGACCATTCCCGCTGCTCGCTGGCGACTCACCTGCTATGTGTGCAGGGAGAAGGGCCTAGGAGCTTGCATCCAGTGCCACCGAAACAGCTGTTACGCCGCCTTCCACGTCACCTGCGCCCAGCAGGCGGGCCTCTACATGACCATGGATACAGTCAAGGATGGCCACAACGATTCATCCATGCACGTTCAAAAGTTTGCCTACTGCCACGTCCATACCCCGGCGGACGCTAAGCTGAAAATGAACGTTCCGGACTTCGAAGACACACGCCACAAGATGCGAGAAGCGCGCAAAGCTTTGGCCAAGAAGCGCTCCACAGCGCCAGTAGTGCTAATTCCCACTATACCACCGGACCGAGTTCAGGAGATAGCCACCATGGTGACGATGCAGCGCAAGAAGGAGTTTCTCGATCGCATAATCGCCTATTGGACGCTCAAGCGGCATTATCGAAATGGTGTGCCTTTGCTACGACGCCTGCAGAGCCAGGGCAATAACCACGGCGTGATTCAGCGCAACGGCATTGAAGGATCGCCTGACACGAGTGAGCTTTATCGGCAGCTTAAGTACTGGCAGTGCTTGCGGCAGGATCTGGAGCGGGCGCGCCTTCTGTGTGAACTGGTGCGTAAGAGAGAAAAGCTGAAAGTGGCCTTTGTTCGCATCTCCGAGGAGGTGGTCATGCTGCAGCTCAATCCGCTTGAAGCAGCGCTGTCTAAACTGCTAGACGCGCTGGAAGCGCGCGACAGTATGGAGATCTTTCGAGAGCCGGTAGATACGAGCGAGGTGCCCGATTACACCGACATCGTGAAACAGCCCATGGACCTAGGCACGATGCGATTGAAACTAAAGGACTGTCAGTACACCTCTCTGGAACAGCTTGAAGCTGACTTTGACCTGATGATTCAGAACTGTTTGGCATATAACAACAAGGACACGGTATTCTATCGCGCGGGAATTCGGATGCGCGATCAGGCAGCGCCTCTTTTTGTCCAGCTGAGAAAGGAGCTACAGCGGGATGGTTTGCTGGAGCGAACGCAACGCACCCATATCGACCATGTGGAAGCAGAAGTTGAGCGTGAGCTACGCCTGCTGCTGGCGGCGCCAGCCACCGAGGACGTTGTCCAGAAGCTGCTTATCCTCGCCGACAAGTCCCAGGTCCTCAAGAACCCCAGCTATCGCACCAAGAAAATCAAGCAGATTCGTCTGGAGATTACGCGGATGCGCAAAACTCTCCAAAAGGCGAGATTTGCAGCAGTAAGTATTCGGTTTATCTGCTTCGTATAGTTCTAAAACTAATATCTTCCTTTTCCCTACAGCGCCACTCATCACATGCCAACCAATCCCAAAGCGACGATGAGGATACGGTAGGTGCTTCGCCTTCTAAAAAACGAACCCGGAAACGGTTAAATAGCAGTGCCGTTGACATGGAACTGGCGCACGACGAAGACGACGAAGAAGAAGATTCTGATGAGGAATCTATGGGCGAGGGCGAGGATAATGTATCCAAGGACTTGCTAAACTCTACGCAAACGCCACCCTGCAGCCCAATCAAGAGTCTGAATAATAGTAGCTCTCCCGTCGGTATCAATCGAAGGTAAGTTTTCTATTTACTGCAGATAGACTTCCAACAAAATGAAAGGTATATAGTACTCATTGAGAGTAATAAAAACTTTTTAGGACTGGAAACTGGTCCGTCAATGCCATTCCTCCATGATATCTACATTCTAATCCCCTTTTAATCCACTTCAGAACGGCCATCTTGTTAACGCGCAAGGCACAGGCTGCCCTAAAAAGACCCTCGGAACCACTAACAACGCCTGTAAAAGAGGAGCACCATAATTCGCAGTCGTCCAACACTCAGTCCACCAGCGGCAGCTCATCCTCTGCCACTACGGCGGCCACAGCTGCCTCCAGTGCAACGGGTACGCTAAATCATATCCTGGCCACCGCACCGTCCACTGTCTCCAGCTTTGCGTTGACGCAAAATAATAGCAGCGGCGGGCACCTTGGATCGGGAATAGGAGGATCGTCGTCAGCCGGAGCCGCTGCAGCTGCGAACTTGGCCTCTACTGCCCTCGCAATGAACAGCAAGCTTTCCGCGATCCTGCCCGTCAAGTCGCCAAAGAGGCCAGGTCGATACCGTCGACTGCCGGAGGTGAGGCACAGCTCCTCAATGTCACCAAAGAAGTCGCCCAACCCGGCGGTATCCGTCAGTCAAACGCTACCCATACCAGACCCCCTGCCCTTCGAAAGAATACCGGACAGCTTCCGGGTGTATCGGGCCAACAATCAGCGCGACGTGAGCGACAGTGACGATGCTCCTTCGCAGTCGAGTAGTCCGTGCAGCAGTTGTTCCGACTTCAGCATGTCGGGCAGTTGCTCCGAATTCGACAGCGACGAGGCAAGTGACGGCGATGCAGATGGAGATGCGGATAGAGACGGCGTAAGGAGTCGTAGTGAGGACAGGGATTCAACGTCTCAGGATGGCACCACTGACGCCATGGACTTGCAACACGCGAGTCTCAATAATGCGCAGGGAAATAACGGCAACATGGCTATCAGCAGTAGCAGCGACGGAAGTGGCGGCAGCTCCAGCAATGACGACGAGGATGAGGAGCGGCCACTGCTTGCGCGGCAGAACAAGACGTTGAAGGTGGGAACGCGCAGTACACCGACTCCGACCGCAATGGCACGAGCAGTATCAATGACGGCGTCACGAGGGCGAGGCAAGCGGCGAAGCAATCTTAGCGAGTCTACCAGCTCAACGGCCACACCGCCGCCCCTGCTGCGGAGGGCAGGCAAGCTGCGGTCAGCCACGCCCAACGCCTCGCCGCTAGTGAATAACATCAAGGCGCGTAGGAATACCACAGCTGTTGCCAGTACAACTCTCACAAATAACAACCGCAGCAATCATGGCGAAAATTCCGTCTCATCGGAACGACACAATCACCACTCTCACGGCCAAAAGCCGACGCTGGAGCCTCTACAGCTAGTGTGGGCCAAGTGCCGCGGATATCCCTGGTATCCCGCCCTCATCCTCGACCCCAAGACGCCCAAGGGATTCGTGTACAACGGAGTACCGCTTCCCGCTCCGCCCACTGACGTTCTGGCGCTGCGTAAGAACTGTTTGGACGAGATTGTGTTCCTGGTGCTATTCTTCGATGTGAAGCGCACCTGGCAGTGGCTGCCGGCCAACAAGCTAGATATCCTTGGAATCGATAAGCAACTGGACCAGCAAAAGCTGGTAGAGTCGCGGAAGCCTGCGGAGCGGAAGGCTGTAAAGAAGGCGTACCAGGACGCGCTGCATTACCAGAGCCAGGTCTCCGACTTGGAGGGCCAAGGACCCGATCCGATCATGTGAAAGCTGATGGCCCGACTGCATCTGTAGGCGCCGCTCGAAAGGCTTTAGCCATTTAGTTAGCTCCCCCAAAGGGATCGCTCGTATTTTTATATCTCGTTTGTTGTTACTCGGTACTCGAAGATGACGATGTTTAAGGCCCTCCATTAGAGTATTTCGTTGGCGAATTTCCAATTTGCACTGTAAGTGTCTTTGATTTTCGTTTGTTGCCAAGTCACCAGGGATCGTTTGCCCCTGTAACATTATGTACAGTTTTTGTAATACACGCAGTTAGCGAATTCGTTGGAGGATCCTATTTTATGTACATTATTTGGCTTTTGTGACTACGATTATGAAATGTTAGATCCCGAATACGGAATCGGTTCGAATCACAACAACATGGAATTTATAACCTCAAGACGATTCACGCGAAATCAAATCAATGTTTAAGTTAAATAGTTTTAAGCTCACCTACAGTTAAGCCCAAAATCAATACAAACACAAAACACAAATCAGCTAAAACAAAGCAGCAAGGCGCCTCAATTAAAAAAAAATTGTGTAAAAACTTAAACCGCTATATAGAGGATGGAAGAGGATCTGAACATTACAAATAGCATTACAAATTGTATAGATGTGTGTGTGTGCGCGTGAGTCTCTACATAAATCGATATATCTCTATATGCATAAAGTGTACGTCTTGATTTGAACAATATGAACAAACAAAAAATATATTTGATTATTAAATGATGTATTAAACTGATGAGGATTATTATTATTATAATTACTGTGTGTAATTAATGCAAAAATTTCTTATGCCTAAGTGGAAAGCGTAGACAATTAAGTATTGAAGTAGTTGGCTCCAATCTTCCCGATCGAACCCACAAATCCCCGCCCCAACCACCACCTTTGCCCTTAACAAGATTGAATATTGTTTAAATCTAATGGTAAATTAAATGCAGAAAAATAAATGTTTTAAACAAAAAACTTCTGTATACGATTCTTTATTCGATTCCAGTTTTGCGGAAACTGGGACAGTGTTCAGATGCACAGCGACTGGCCTACAGTTTTAGCAGCCTCGTTTGGCAATTGTCACCAAAAGTGCGTCAGTAAAGTTCGACAGGAATTGACTTATATTTACTTTGATTATCCCCAGTTCGTTCACCGGGTTTTGAGGGGCTGTTAACAGTGTCATATTCACCCCTCATCAATTATCACCCGGGCAGATGTTTTGTTTTACAGTTTTTCGGAGGTACAGTTTTAGCCTCGGCACTTGGCACGTGATTCACTTGTTCTCGGCAATTGACTTTCGATTTCATCACCAGGTATTTTCTCAAAAACTTTCTCAGAAATTGCAAAATAATTTATATATTTATTTTATAGGAATATATCTCTGATTAGGAAACATAAAGAATAAAATGTTAGGAATAACGAACCACCTTCGAAGATTGACTGTGATTTCGTTCTACACGATATCATAACGTACAAATTGAACAATTTTAAGTTTATTAATTATTATTACTTATATAAATAAGGGATGCTTATTGCTTAGTCTGATTAAAACTGTAAACTTGTTGTTGCGTGAGTTAGGCTTAAATTCGAAAGTTGTATTTAAGTGCTAAGCCACAGCAATCCCTTTGAATTTTGTAGTATTTACTTTTCTTTATTTAATTCTCCCTTTCTTCCACCCCAATATTAAATTCCACTTCTCACCCCTACGACTGTTAAGTTGTTTTTGAGTGGAAAAAACTACAAAGAGCTTAAAATTTCCAAGTCACGGCCCAGAAACATGATTAGGCCAATTAATTTTAAAGGCAAACATTAAACCAAAAGATTGAGTGAAGCGATTGAGTAGACGGCCAAAGCAAAACATAAACAAAGCGATTTTTTCATGAAAAATTAAGTTGTTTGCCTGGCAATTGCAACGCATAACATCGAAATAAATCTTGAAATATTTTCTACGCATTTCTCACGTGCTCAGACTTGAAAAAACCGCAGCAATTGTGTTTGGGGCCAACATGATCAAACAACTCAGGTGCTAGGCCGGGCTTAAAGTTGACAGCCGGCGAATGTCCGGAGCTACTGTTCATTGGCGGCAATCGAGGGGCTATTAAACAACTCAATTTGAATTTAACTGTAGATGATAGAACGCCCAAAATCGCCAGCAGCTGGCCTTAATTATTAATGCAAATTTATTGACCGCCGTTGTTGTAGTAGGCAGCTAGCTCTACGAGTGACCACTCGCCACTGCAAGTTGGCCAAGTGCCAGGTGTAGGTCATTGCGTTGGCGCTCCAATTGATGTTTCCATTACGCGCATAATTACTATCTATTTGCCCCTTCAAACGGAACTGAAAGCCCGGGAAGTTCCCAAAAACTCGTTTCTTTATGTGGGGCCATGTGACGTCAAAGACGGTGCTCCGAATCGGATACAAGAGTTTAAAAAAAGAATATCTGGGTTTGAAAATAAGTGGCCTTGATGTTGGCTGGCTCCACAATGAATGCCGCATCAAATTATGAGGAAAAACCTTTTGCAACAGTTCAAGCTCCTGTTCCATTTTAGGTGTTTTTTTTATAGTATTAGTAGATTCTTAATGGAAGAATTTATCAATACTTATTTCTCTTTATAATGAGGAGTATATTTGCCAAAAAAGTAAGCTTCTGCTCTAGTTTGGACTCTATAAGCTGCTCAGCAATTTGGATCGGGGATTTATTTAGCTTATTTTTCTCTTCACCTTCATCGAGAATCGTCAAAATATTTGCTTTTGGAGAAATATAATTTCTGCTGACGTTCGTTGGTGATTAAAAGAAATATCAAAATCGCCAAAACGTAGTTCATTCAGCTGGCAAAACGTCGATTGGACTGTTATTAAGTTTTCGCTGGTAAATTAATTTAAATTCGCACGCAGCTGAAATGACGTCTTGGGTTATTTCCTCAGTGCTACTCGCACGTGATTTACCCAGCGTGCACCGAATAATCCGTAAGAAAGACACCGCAGAGCTTGATTTTATTTGAGTTTTGGAATTTTCGGCGGATCTGCGGTTCAAGTGCGTTTGTTGGCCATAAACTTTTGCCTCGCTCTTCGTTGCCAAGCAGCTGTGTTTGAAATCTTGGAATTTGTTGACTCACGAAAGTTCCGTCGGCAGCTGATCCGGAAAAGCTGAGGGGTTGATTTTTGAATCAACCTGTTACAGTGGGAAATATAAATATAATCCGAAAGATCATTTTAAGATACAAAATTATCTTTCTACCCTGGACAAATCTCCAAATAACTTAAGAACTAAATCTTGTTTTATTATTTTTAGAAAAATGGAATATTTTCCCCAGATTGCCTTCAGTGGCGTGATGGGATGGTACAGCATGTTCAGACATCTCAATGAACCACAGTGACGCGCTAATCAACGGCCCATTAACACCTGATGGATGCAGCGTTTTCAGATTACGTATCCGCCACCGATTCGCATTTGGCAGAGTTTCATATGCAAATCGCCCGTTGCTTCAGATAAGATAGATAAGCAGCAACGTGGCTAGCCAGCCGCAAGCACTTAGAGCTGGTTTAATTAGCGCGGACGTGCCTCCGTTTCCATTCATTGATATCAATGCGACGGGACAACAAAATCATTAAAGAATCAATTGCTCTAGACGCACGCGCTCCGATCTTTACCCCCGAAAAAAAAGAAAGAAAAGAAAAAGTGGTGATGTGCTCTCATCGACTGATGATCATGGGCATTATCATCTTAGAAGCTTCATCATCGAACCTACGTCACATGGCCAACGTGACTGTGGTCAGTTCAAGAAAGAAATCTATACTAGAAAGCTTTCGCCTGGCAACAAGATCCCAATCACCATATGTATATCGCCAGCACATTTGGAATGTTATGAAATATTTCAGCTTGGGAAAGTTGGGCCCCTTCTGACGAGTCTTACGTGTGACTTCGGAGGTAAGCCCATTACCTAAGAGTGCGAAATTTGAAAACCTTTAAAGCTGCCAAGGTGAGTTTTTTTGTGAAAATCTTGACAATATATATTCAGCAAATGGAGCAGGTAATTGGGCCACCATGTGATCAATGAATGGCTCTTTTCTGCCTGGAAATTACCATCACGAAGAAAATAATCAGCAGTCAGCAAGATAAGCTGCTTTTCTGATGAGATAGCCCCAGGCCAGCCAATCTTGATGTTCTATTTATATATTCCTATGTGTAGACACTGTTCATGTCACCAGTTTTCTACTCATTTTCACTTCCGAAAGATTGCATAAATCCAATAATTTCAAATATTTACTGAATGGCAAAGATGCTTGGGGAATTTCAAGATTTAATGCAGAAACTATAGAAACAAAATGAATGATTAAACTCAAAAATCATTGAGAGGAAGACATACGCAAAACCTTATGTTGCGAAATTCCGTCTAAAAACTTAGTCTCAATTAAATTCCCCACAGAACTGGTTATACATCAAAGCTGCGATATCTCCGAATTGTTTGAACTGCCGAATCGATATGATTCAGCCCCAGATGTGCCTTCCCCTCTCTGATCAGAACCACATATATATTTATAGACATTTGTATAAATTCTGCTGGGAGATCGTTAACTCCTTTCTACTCCCAAGCGAGCCTCTTTTTCTCACTTAAGTTGTATTTATTTACAAACAAATTTAAATAAAAAGCTGATTTAATTTGAGACTCCTTCGACCACAGAAATGTGCTGGTATATAATGCCGGTGTGGAGTGATATAATTTGCCTGATTGACATTGTTTAACCTTAATGTACATTTGCCTCTGTCCAGGGCCTTGCATTGGCCATATAACGGCGCCGACTGGAATTAACTTGAATTTATTGAGTCGCGGTCGGATCCCTTGCCAAACCGGTTGCAGGAAGCAGCTGAAGAAGGGGCTCCCAAAGCCATATCGAGTGACTGAGTCGCCCTGCCCCGATCCTCCCTTAATCCCCCTCCCCCCTAATGAGTTGCAGGCGCGACCAGACGGCGACTGTACAAAAATGCCCACTACTAAATATAAATTAACTCCTGCTGGCCATATTTGGTAACCCGGAGAACGAAGCAGGAAGGGCAACTGAGGCAGCTAAGGCCAAAGCTAAGTGCGATCATTGAGCCTTTTGACAAATTTGAATAATTGTCCCCGGCATAGAGCGTGTCATTGATGAATCGATAGTCGATGGCACCCCAGAGACCCTTCACTTGCTTGGGCCAGGCCAAGGGCCATAAATTCCCAGCAGCCGGGCTAAAAATAAAGCCGGGCTTAACCTTGAAGCATAACGGAAGAAGCCAAGCGAAGGCTGGTCCTGTTTTCCTGGGAAGCAAGGGGCGTCCAGGGGGTCCAGGGGAGGAGGCCAGAAGCCTGTGGCCAATTAAGTCTGAGATAAAGAATCCCAGCGACCTAGGGCAACAGAATATTTATTGACACATCCTGTAGGGCCGGCAGTTGGCTCAAGGACACCGACAACCGCTTCAGCTTGCGGTTCTTTTCCACTCGCCGAAACGCGGGTATAAAAGCCCTAAGTTAAGCACCCAAACCGCAACAGTCTTCTAGCAGCAGTAGTCGAAGTTGTAGCGAAGTTTTGGAGCACCTGAGCCCCAGAAGTCCTACCAGTCGCTACATAAAAGTTAAACAGTAAACTTAAATCCAACCACAGCAAGATGCGACTTTTCCTGATCGGCCTGCTGGCCCTCGGTTCTGCAAGAGCCTTCTCCGTGATACGCACCCAGCCCCATCCCCAACTGGTTGCCTACTCCCCGGCCAGAGGAGAATTCCCTGTGGTAAGTGGCCTGGCCCAGGGCTACGTCCGCTACTATGACGGAACGGGTGCAGAGCGGCTTCTGCCCTACAGCTATCCCGAGCCATTGAACGGCCTCCGGGATCTGGCTACCTCTAGTCTAACCCGCTCCGGACTGGAGCAGGAGAGCGAACAGACCGCCCTGTTCCGCGCCTGGTGCGAGCAACGCTACCAGGCCATGCGCCTGGAACTTGATCGTCTTAAGGCCCAGGGCCTGAAGCCCACGGCTAGCATGTTGGCCCAGTTTGAGCCTCTAGAACAGATCGTCAAATTCGCCGCCTTCGAAGCCGTTCCCGGACTGACACCAGAGGTTCAGCGTGCCCGCGATGAGCAACTGCGCATCTGGAACGAAGCCAGGTTGGAGGTACTGCGCGCCGAACAGGCCCAGCAGCTACTTGGCCAGTCTCCGGAGTACCAGTTCAAAAAGGAGAAGACCACAGTGATCTACGGACAGCCGCAGGAGCAGCAAGTCCTGTTGAAGACATCAACTCCCCAGGTCGTAAAGCCCATTGAGACCCCGCAGACCCACTCCTACGGACAGTTCGCTCCCAGTCAGGACAACCTCTTGCTCAAAACGGCATCGCTGACATCATCTCAGATCACTCCTCAGATTGCTCCTCAGATCGCTCCCCAGCCAGTTGAGGAGACTCCGGAAGTTAAATTAGCCCGCCAAGAGCATCTCAAGCAGTTCAACGAGGCTCTGCTCCGCCAGCCTGCCCAGGAGACCAACATTCTCAAGACCATTCCTGGAATTCAGCAGCCAATTACGACTCAGCCTCAGCCGATTATCAAGAGCACCCCAACCACTTTTGAAACCCTGCCAATTGCCCAACCCCAGGCCATCTTCAAGACCAGCAGCTTCCAGGATCAGCAGCCCCCGCAGCCCATTGAGGAAACTCCAGAAGTCAAAAAGGCTCGCGAAGAGCACCTCAAGTTGTTCAATGAGGCCCTGCTCCGGCAGCCTGCCATCCCCGAAGAACCCATTCTGAAGACTACGCCCAGTCAACCAATTCTGCCCAACGCCAACATCTTCGCGACTCAGCCAAATCAGTTGATCGACGCCTTCTCAGTCCAACAGCAGGCACTGCTTCCCAACGCCCCCATTATAAAAAGCTCAATTGCCGAGCCCCAGGCACCGCAGCCCGTCCAGGACACACCCGAGGTCAAGCTGGCTCGCGAACAACACCTGCTGCTCCTGAGTCAAGCCAAGCTCCAGGCCGAGGACAAGGTGGCTGATATTGCAGACATGATCCGCCTGGAGGAACGTGAGCGGGACAAGGAGCGCCTGCAGGAGCTGGAACTGCGCAAGCAGGAGGAGAAGGATGCCGAGTTGGAGCGCCAGCAGGAGGCAAATCGTCTGCTTGAGGAGACTCGCCTTTTGGAGGCCGAGCGTCTGAAGATCGAGCAGGAGGACCGACTGCGCCTGGAGAGCGAAAAGCAAGAGCTCCTGCAACTGAAGGCCACCACCACATTTGAGAAGGAAACTCCCGGATATATCCGCAAGGCTGAGCAGTTCAAAATCATCAACAACCAAGTGCAACCGCAGCAGCAGCCCAACATCGTGACCCAGCAGCAGCAGGTCCAGAACGGCTTTTTCCTGCGCATCCAGACCAATCAGCCCCAACCTATTCAGCCATCCACCGAACCAGTGAGCGCTCCAGCTTTAGTCCTTGCCGAGCAGGGACCCAATCCCTTCCTGGTGCGCTACACCCCCAAACCTGCCGAAATCCAGCTTCCTCTACCGGCAGTACTGCCTCTGCCCCTGCCCGCTCCAGTTCCCACCGAGCTGAAACAGCAGTCCAGTTTCATCTCCACATCGTCCAGCGAACTGGACAAAGCCACCAGGGAGCACTTCCGCGCCCATGAGATCGCCCTGGAGCAGCTGCGCCTGGCCAACCTGAGGAACCCCTGGACCCCCGACTGCCAGCACTAGGAAACTGGGAAAGCCCCGATAGCTGCGCCCCCCGGAAAACGAACGAATTCGAATCACTTGCATTGCCTTAGGTTAGATCACAAGCCCACATCTCACGTACACCCATAACACCCCTCATACGCATACTCGTACACCTGTATACATAGCTTAGCGATTCACTCCGAGTCCCGATTCAAAATGCATTCAGTTGAGAAACAACGCAAAACTCACACAAAGGCAATTCGGCTGGGGGATTGGGGTGAGGGTGGGCTGGATGGTGGTTGGTGGGTGGTGGGATCAAGGGGGCGGAACAAAGGAAATGGCTTTCTCGACTTTACTGTTATAGAACGCTGAGATGGTAATTCGGAGTCGCCAGATTGTCGGATCGATCAGAATGCGCATAAAATGCTAAAATTGCGCCGCAAACTGGCACAGATGAAGATGTTATCTGATCCGCTCGGATTCGGTTCTGATCGATTCAGCTCTTAGCACTTGACGCATAAATAACAAGTTGCTGTTATCTGGGATTGAGAAGTGCAGCTAGAGGATACTCTATTCCTCTAACAAATGCAATTATTACGAAAATTTAGGTAAAGGTAAGATTCAATGCTGCAACCGATTAGAATTTTCAATGCAACAACTGGCTATCGATTGATTTGCATTTGAGCACCAAGAAAGTGTAGCTATAATTCAAAATAAGGCCGACAAATCCCCGATCTGCATAACAAATTTGGTAACTACAGCTGGAATGGTGTCACACTTCTAGCTGTTTATACAGGCTCCGCTATTGACCCTGATCAGGAATACATATGTATGCCTGCGCCTTTTTAGGCCCGTTACACAAATCTCCATAAATCCGATATAGCCTTGCCGTCGACGAGTAGCGGCTTATGAAAATTCTCCACAAATGTATTCAGAACGCTATCCACTTAGCGTCCACAAGCTCCTCACTGACCTATCGCAAATCGAACCGACCGTTAATCGCCGCTGGAATTGATGAAATTACCGTTGGCAGCCCCCTTTCGACCCTCCGCCCTCCACCTGATAAGATTTCTCCACCGATTACGTGGCGTATGAGTAATCAGCAATGAGAGCGTGGCGAAGCGAAAGTGACTAATGTGAAACCAAAGATGTTCTATGGCCATATATGGCTAGCATCAGACAGCTGGCTTGCTGGTGGCGGATGCAGAGACACTTGATAAGGCGGTTACCAAAGATTCGGTTTATTTGTAGAATGCGGTGTCTCTGAAGTCCAAAGATCACCCAATATGAATCACAGTTAGGGGCGTTTGCTTAGCTATTCTGCTACCGAATGGCGCTCACATGATTATTTGCTGGCGGGGTCCAAAGTCTAGGGGGAGTTTTGTTTGATATACCCACCCACCCGCACTTTCCCGGCTTATCTAGTACCAATCGAATCAATCGGTTTGATTTAGCCATATACTCGTAGACATGATGTGGCTGATGCAACTTTAGGCTTTAGCGTGGCTAGACAGACGCCGGGGTTATGGTCCGGTCGTTGATAAGCCTGCGGATTGGCCTTGTTCCTCTGGATTTGGGCCATTCCGGTTCCATGCCGAAATGAAATCAAATCGAACCGTGAAATCGAGAAGTGCGCAGTTAGCTATGTGCGAATTATGTGTGCGTATTTATAGAAACCGCAAAGCAAATCTGGGCTTTTATTTACATTTTGCAGGCGGCGGCGGCGGCGGCCCACAATGGAACAAAACACGGGGAAGTGTTTCCAGATTGGCTGGAACACCTTTCGAATCGAATTCCACGAAACGGGAAATGTTTCAAATACCTTCGCCTACCCAATTGTGAAAAGATTCTTTCAATCAATTTGTTGAACAAATAAATACGATTCTGGGGGATTCCTATTGAGGAATTGATTTGGTTTAGCCTGGTATTTGGCCAGGTATTTGGCTTATCATGGGAAGTTCCGCGAATTATGCATTTGATTCATCTGCTTGGGCTGGGGGTAAACAAATTTTGAAAAACCATTAGGGAATTTTAGCCACCTGACTTCTTGGGTATTTAAATGAATTTTCTGAACAAAGGGGGTTTTATTATAGAAAAGTCAATAAAGAAATAATTTGATTCACTTTGCTGTTCTTTGATTTATATAAATTAGAGATATGAATTCACTCCTTTAAACCACCTTCTACTATACGACAGTAGCTAAAATTCAGTGTAATAAAAGCTAACTTAAGCTTCTAACTTAAGCTGAGCTGAAGGCCCTAGCTGCTAGCCATTTGTTAGCTCTTAGTTTTAACTAATTGTTAGCCTTAGATAAATAAATAAATAAGTTCCAATAGTACCCAACAAATACCTTAATACAAAATTTTCCCTAATTTCACCATAAGCCTGCTATAAAATCACAATCGCTGAGCAAATGTTTAGATGATAAATATTAAAAAATAAATATTTAACTTCCTCTTTTTTGTGCTAATTTAGAAAAGTTGAAAGTGGGTATTGGCCTTGGCCTTTTTAGAGGTATTCATTTTTATCATTCTGCATAAAGTTTTTAAGCAGCTTAAAAACTATTAAAATAATTTGTAACAACAGATCAGATCTCAGATCTTTGACGATCTCTTACCCAAAACTTTATAATAGGTTTTCATACATTAACTGATATAAAAATAATTCAACTCTGTTAAAAATCCTATATAAGTAGATGATTAATTGATTTAAAGCAATGCATTTGGTCAGTCAATTATAGCCTCGTAAAACACAAACTGATTACCTCCCCAATTCAAGGCCTTTATCACTTTCCTTCAAATGTTTCATTTCGCCAGAAACCTCTATAAAAATCGCAATCGTTGAAGACGTTTAACAGCCTGACCATAAATACTCCCCCTCTTGGCCGCTTCCTTGGCCATAAAAGGAAATGTCAGTCCGGTAGTTCCCCCATCGAGCCATCAAGTGGCGAGCAAACAACGGCACTTCCAGTCGCAGTCTTGTCGCCTAAATTTTGTTTTCTTTGGAAGTACTGATAACAAGAGTACAGAAAGCCCAGATAAATAAAGAAAACTGAAAACAAACAATAAACGCTGATACAAATTTTCCAACAATTATTTGCCTTGATATTTATGCAGAATATCTGCTGTTGTTGTTATTGTTATTGTCGCTGATATTTTTAGCAAAGGCGACAGGTTATTTTTAACATTCGAGTTTATTTTTGGGGCGGAGTTAGTGCGCCGCAGCGATAATAACAAAGACACACTTGTGTTCCGTCGACCATCATCGCTCAAAGTGACGGGTTGCCAGCCAATTTCGGTCAGAAGCGTTTGCTTTAAGCCATGCAAATACTGCCAAGAACAACCAATTAGTGATAAGAACTAAGATACGGGAAAGTGGGTCTTCCTCGTGGAGAGAGCGTTCTCCTTGGCGGACCTTGGCTTTATTTTTCACCCCGGCACCATGAGTAGTATTGAATACGTAACCGATAAGATAAAGGTATAGTAATTCGCCATATTTACCGATCAATTTGTTTTTGCACTTATTTTTAACTGCATGGACTTAGAGTCACTTTCCTTCCCAGAAACCATGACCCCTGTCGGAGTCCATAAAATGAGGGCTATTATTGTCATCGGTGATCCATGATCCATATGTTCAAGCGTTTTGTTATTTTCCTTGACTTAACAATATGTGATATACATGATGGGACACTAAAGTTTGTTGCCAGGCCACTAAATAAGGGGACGCATTAACTGGCGGTTTATGAAACCAAAAACGTGATATGATAGTCACATGCGTGCGATTATCACGTTTTGCGATAATTTTGTTTTTGGACAAAAATGGCAAACAACTGGGTTTTTTTCGTTCTTGGTTTGGGTTTTCATGCTGTTTTGCAACTGAGAAAAAATAACAAATAAAACATGTTTTATTTTAAGTCTCTAACATAAGCAAACATTGTACAAAACAAACAACAAGCTTTACTTAGCTGACCTACTCTTTTTTCAGTTAAGTTGGTCGTAAGCCTGAAATAAAGAATTCATAATCATTTATATCAAAGATCAAATGTTCGTAATATGGTACCATCTAAACTTATAAATTCAATTACTATTATACATCCCATTTATAATTAGAAAACTTGAAAGTTATGACAAACCGGATATGTGGTCGAAAAACGTATGTAGAAGCCTCCTCGGAAGAAGAACATAATCGCAAGAATCGACGCCTGGGGAAAACAGCGCCCCCGATTTTGCGTAACTTTGTTTGCCGCAAGCAAAAAGAATCCCAGATATTATATACACAAACAGCCAGTGGGTCACAGTCCCAACATTATACGTACATATGTTATATCGCCTCGCAACGAAAGAAATCGGCCGGAAAGTGCCTCCGAATCCATAACAGAACCATGTGATTTGTTCGCGATTGACGTCACAAAGACATTTGCCTTCGTCACTGTTTTGGCAGCATTGATAAATTCGAGCATAATTATAGAATCCGCTGGCCATTGTTCTGTTTGGTGTGTGGGCGTGGCAGGTGGGCGGCAACCGCCTCCTTGATCTTGGGTAAACAATCGAGGCGCGAATGTTTGGATGTTTTGTTTGTCCGAACAGCGATCATGCGATCATGCGATAACTTCATTATGCCCTCGGGAGATCGTTAAAAATCATTTTTTACGCCGCCATAAATTGGTATTTATACCTTGGATATCTGGAATCTGGATATATATCGGTGCTTTCGGGCACTGAGCTGGAGTTGCAACAAAGGATAAGCCGAGATTCGCTTGACAAGATAGCGGGACTCTCGGTTTTTGACTTACGTGAGAAAGTTTTACGACATTGACGCAGTTCTCGCAGCTGTATGATGGGTGGAGGTGGGCGGTGGGTGGTAGGGTTATTGTGTGCTTGGGTGGTAGCTTGGCGAATCGAAGTTCTGGCACAATAACGGTATTGGCGACACGCTGAGCTGCGGATTGCCGCATGACTTACGTAAGCAGGTGGGATGGGTACGGAGACGGAGGACATGTGGCCCTAAGGTTGGCCAGGTATGCGGCTGAACCGTTGCTC